ATAATCAAAGTATAGGTAAAACTAAACGAAGGAGGTAACATGATAAGTATGCATAAAATCGTAACCGACCTATTAACCTTAAAAATGTATTGATTGTACTCCAACTCTGGTAGGAGTCATTTGACATGACCACACAAGTACCTATCAGATCAGTTACCATTGGCATCCATAGTAACACTAATAATGTTTAACACATCAAAACCCTTGTGATAGACATTTTCTGCACATTAGCTCATGCCAGTGCGGTTTAAAAGTTGTATCATCCACATAACACCCTGAAACAATAAATCTAGCAATTTGAAAATTACGTATCTTATTGTTATGATTGAACATGCAAATGAGTTTATCATCACCTTTACATTATACAAAAATACAAAAAAACTTCATTTATTCCACAATTAAATTTGTTTTTTGAAAAGGTTGTGAACAAAATTAACCATAAAATAAGAGACTTGACTTATTTATTTTGCAAAACTTGTGGCATTTTTAAATCCAAAGAATTAATATACCTAATGTATACAGAATGTATCAAGGGGAAATTTGGTACATTAAAATGACACAAATATAAGATGGACTTGGCCGCTTGGGACTGTGGAATGAGTTAGGAATGGTTAAAAACGTGCAAGAAAGCATATTAAACCAAACGTGAGGGGTCGCCTTTTAATTTTCACAAATTGGAATTTACCACCAAACTAATAATAGCCTATCAATGGATCTGCTACTTTCAGCCACAAATTTAGATATGCTTCTTTACACGTGGCAGCATGGTAGGCCATAAACTTTACAATCCTCGCTCCTCACGTGGACCGGGGCCCACTTTCTCCTCAAATCGCGCGGACCCGAAAACCTCGTTCCTTGTTCCTCTCTCTACTCTTTTCTCGCTACTCTATGTCGCCCCCGAGAAAGCATTGCGTTCTACTCTGCTAGTAAAATCCCAGCAAAGGTAATACGAAAACTGGCCGTTAATTATCCGCCGTAACTCCTGAAGAATTGATTTTGGCGAACTAATTCGTCCCTTTGAGCGTCCTAGCAGCCACGATTTGGCGATGTTCAAGCTAAATCAGGAGCGTTTCGTCGGAGTTTTTTGTAACTTTGGAATTGGAATTTATCTGTTCTGTTCTTTTCTCAGCTATGTTTGATTGGGACGAAGAAGAGGTAATCGTTCTCTCTAATGTCTTTCAATTTACTTTTGCAGATATCTGGATTTGTTTTCTATTGATTCATATGAAGGTGAAATTAAAAAAAAAAAAAGAGTAGCTCCTAAATCCAGCCTTTGCTTAGTCTGATGTTTACCCTCTGAAACCTCCTTGGTTGACTTTATCCTGTGGAGGTCAAGATTTTTCTTGAATGTTCACAAATCACAAGGTTCAGACTTCAAATCTTTTCTGCCTACTTAATTTGATGGTGTGAATCTATTTTTCTATCCAAGTTATAAGATTTACACTTTATATATGCTTTTAAAAAAGATATCATTGAGGGTCAGGGAGTAGAAAGTATTGATGGTGCTGTTGTTCTGTTCTGCTGGCCTTTGGTATCTGTGCAGTTATTTGCACAATGTCATTTTTATCAATGTGCTTTACATTTACCATCTGACATTTATTTGGAAATGCATACCTGGTCTGTAAGGCTGTAACAATTCTTCATTTGATTTTTAATCAGCTTTCAGATATAATATGGGGAGGGACTGGGGAAAATGATGATCATCTAGTTCCATATCCAGTTGAAACTGATGGGAAACCTCAAACTTCATATGGGGATTGTGTTAATGAGGAATGGGATATTGAAACTTCAGAGGTTAAGCCTACCTTTCAGAAGAAACTTGAGGCCAAAAGTGGCTCTTATATTAGGTCAAGAAGCAGCTCCAAGCATGCAGCTGATGAAGCTCACCCTGCACTGGAACTTTGTAAGGATTTATGGGCATGTTTGGATCCCCGAAAATGCTAGTTAAAATAAAGAAAATTCTAAGGAGTGCTATTTTCTTGTGTTTGGTTTTGCATCAGAAATCGTTAAGAAATATGAAATATGATTAGCATTTTTTAAATTTGTACATATGTTTTTATTTCTTAGTCTTTACATACAACAACATTCAAGTCTTAGTCCCAAAAGAGGCGTCTAATTTCTTAGGCTTTATATAATAGAATCAAATAAATTGAGTATGTACAAATATTAAAATAAATTAATTAGGTTTGGGCCAATGCTTTATACCCCCTTACCCAACCACATTTTGATTCTCTCCTAATTTCTCTTTTATTTTTCTTACTATTGTCTTCTCTAGCATTTTCCAATTTTCAAAAGGACCCTACAAAAGAAGATCAGGGTTTCTTGAGTAAAGAGCCATCTAAGCACATTGGAGAAATTTCTGAACATGAAGGTGCAACCTCTTTCTTCTTCTGCACAGGGTAAACACTAATGAAAAATCATATAATTTTACATGCTTTTAGCAGACGGGACAGTTCAACAAGGAACCAATTCTAAGATTTTTCAGAAGCAGCAAGAGGATGGGGAGCAAAGTGACTTTATTGAGTATGACTGGAATAGCATCGGAAGTTTTGACGACCTTGAGAAAATCTTTAGGTAAAGTGTTGGCTCTTAATCTTCAAAGAAATACACACACACACACACCTGGATGTCTGCATTGATGGTAAGTTGTTCATACACACTTTACGCTTCAAATCTATAGGTAAGTTGTTCATATACCCTTATAGTACCAAACTCATTTGTCTCTGCTGCATGGTCAGTTGGTCACTGATGACCTCTTTAATGTGTGTTGTTATAAGTATATAATATAATTATATATATGGATGTCTGCATTGATGGTTTCTTTCTGAAGAAATGACATCTGCAGCAATGATGATCCAATAATTGGATATGCAAACCTTCCTAATACTGAAGAACTATGGTCATCTTCCAATGATCTCACGCAAAGTCCAGAGAAGTCTATTGCCATGTCTGTCGAGTCTCCAAATTTGGGGTTAGGAGAACTGAGAAGCACCTTAGGGAACTTTGAGAATGAAGAAGAATACTTGCTAGATCAATACCAAACATTCTCCCATGCATATGATAAAGGGAAAAATTTCACACAAGATGCTTCACAGGCTCTACATACATATGAGACTGACAAAATAATTCCTTTTTTCAAGGAAAAGGTTGAAGTAAATATTCTGTGGTTATTTGTTTGCACATTTCTAAATTTCCATCTCATAAACTTGTGCTTTTACATATTTGTTCGTTTTTTCTAAGAAATGACTCTCCTGCATATCTTGTTTTGACAGAGAGCTTCAGATATAGGAGGTGAAGCTCCGGCATTCCATTTGCAGCTTGACACCGGAATTGATGCAATACCTAAACAACTGGCAGGGAAGGTATTTCCTCCCACTTTACCACCGAGAGTGAGCTAACATTTGTAGTAACTCCTTTTATAAATAGAACTTCAGACTTCCTTTTATCCTTCCATCTTGTGAGCATGGTAAGTTAATACGATGTACTCATGACTTTAGTTTGTAGAGCGACCTTATTTCTAATAGATCCAATACATGTTTTTGCTTTTTTTTAGCTTATTGTTGTTATATACGGAGTATATAGTTTATTTCCCCGGTTGCTGTAAATGAGTAAATTTAAATTTCTCCAATTCCAAACCTATAGACTATAGTATTGTATCTATAAACTATATCAGCATATATTCATTACACAAAACCCAACTACAATGGAAATCACAGTTGGAGATGGAAGGATATTATATTATGGGTTCATATAACACATATGAGAAGAGAAAACAGAAAGCCCAAATACTACATTAATTAACTTATTATTCCCAAATTCAAAATAAACTCCATACTTTCTTTTTTCCCTCCGTGCCGATTAAATTTGTGATTCATTATGTTTCTCTCTCAACAACTTTGAACCACAATTTTCACTTTCCCAATCCCCGTGCCAAGTTAAAAACATGAGATAATAATGGGACAAAGGGAGTACAAATGTACGACATAATGCTTGCATAGGTGACGTGCAATAATTATTCCCGTTTCAAATTATGTTTTTGAACATCAGAGTGTTGTTCTAGTTTTTTTCACATGTACAGGAGAACAGTCAAAAAGCACCATTGGAAGGACAAGATAAATCAGAAGAGCACGGGCATATCAGTCAACCACAGGGTCTGTGTGAATCATGGTCACCGTCCATGAGCCAACTCAATGGCCAATGCATATTGGCAAACCAGCAATATCCAATCGTTTTCCTTCCTCAGCCAAACCATCTTCAGAGTCCTCTATCTTTGCAGTTCAATCAATACCCAGGACCCCCCATCTTAGCTTCTCCCGTGGTTGGGGATTTCACTAATCAGTATCCAGTGCCCACTTTGACACAGCCCCATGTGAATCCCAGTGCAAAAAGAATGCCGATGACTCCGCAGGAGAAGATTGAAAAATTAAGGAGGCGACAACAGATGAGAGCAATGCTTGCACGGCAGCAGCAGCAAATTGGCAATCAAGTCTTATCCACGGACGATTATATGGGAGTTGAAGACAATATGTGCACTATCCCCTCCATTGTTGACCCAAACTCACCTTTCGAACAAAACGGTCCTAGTACAGCTGGGATTGCCTTTGAAGATCAATCCATGGAAGAATCAGTACTTAACCGGCTTCAAGACGTAGTCTCAAAGGTTGGTGTAACTTGTAAGATACCAGGGCTTTGTGCCGGAAAACAAGCTAACAGCAGATAAGATAATTTCTAACTTATAGAATCTCATATACATTTTGGTAAAAATGACCTCATAAGTTAGTAAGAAATATAAAATGACATGAAAGGATGTTTTTAAAATAGGTTTGACTCAACCAAACAAAACTTATTTAAAAAGCTAACACTTAAATTATAAGGTAGATTTACTTAGCCTAGAAGTTCATATATGGCATCTCTGTTGAAACAAGCAAACATACACTGACATTACTAAAACAAATTGTGTGTTTTTCATCAGCTGGATATACGAATTCGGCTCTGCATTCGAGACAGCTTGTTTCGACTGGCTCATAGTGCAGCACAAAGGCAGCACATTATTAATGACACAAGCAGCACAAACAAGGGCATCCATGAATCGGTTCCCAACCAGGACGAGATAAACAGTAGCAACAGGTATTAGTTATACAATGCTCATTAATATTATAATGAAAAGTGGAAAATCACAATCTATTTGGGTTCTTTTGAACTCAGAGTGTTAGGGGAGGAAAGTAGAGAGAACATTGTGAAATCTGGAAGAAAAGAAAACGTGGGAGGAAATAAATCACTGGTTAAAACTCAATATTTTTAATTTTTAATTTTGCTCAAACTCATTCTATTTAAAGACTTAAGATATTTAAACATATGTAAACTTTTCAAGTACATTAATCACATTCTATTTTCCGGGGTTAAACCAAACACAAAAACCCGTTTCTTAAGCTTTGTTCACTCCTTTCCTTTGCTTTTAATTGGATTCAAAGACACCCTTAAGAGTCTAAGCGATATCGTTATTTTTTGCTGTATGCAGTAATTACAGGATTGCTAGGTTGCCTAACGTAGAGAAAGAAACTAATCCAATAGACCGAACTGTTGCTCATTTGCTCTTCCATCAACCCACGGTAGTCTTGTCAACAAGAGTTACAGAAATGCCTGAGTCACAACTTCCAGACAAGCTCTACAATGAGAGCAATGCAACTTGTCAATTGAGCTTGCCAAGGAGGAACCTACCTCATAGTCGTGGCGAAAGTCATCTTGTTATATCTCCTCAGAGTTTAACAGCTCCTAGCTCTTATACTGAGGGGGAGCAATCCCAAATCAACCCTTGCTTCGAGACTTATTCTGAGAATATATTAAACAATGAACCTGCAGGTGGCGGAGTGGTGGTCGACCCCCTCTAAAGGAATCAAATGATATTTCTGGACTTATAATGGTAATTCAATCCTTTGTCATTCAGTCCTTGTCAGCCAACTTGAGACAGGGTAAAGAAAAGTGTAGATATATAATGTTGGAAAGGTATGAAATGATGTTGAAGGACTAATCAACTCCATGTGATTATTAAGGCCTGCCTATATGTATTTTTTGGAATTCTGAACTAACTCCCTCCTTGCTTGAATAATTGTGACTGTTTAGAGACAAAAAAGTGCTCTCTAATAAGTCACTTTAGAAGATCAATAAAGCATTATTTGCACTGTTTTCACCTCAGGCATTCTTTGTTTAGGAGTAGAAATATTAAACATACAGTATTGTTACTTTTTTTATTTTCAATGCCTTATTTTGGCCTTGTTATAAAATTCTATCTCTGTTTTAAAAAAAAAGTTGCTTTTTCTCATTTAAGAACTCAAAATATGCCAAAATATTTTGTGCATATATTAGTAAAACAACAGTTGGCTTTACATGGCACAAAAGGAGGAATTCTCACCTCACGGTGGCCCGATGGTGAAAGAATGAATCTAATGTAAACATATTGGTTGTGATAAAATACAAAGTTTAAGGCCAAATTAGCAATAGATTAACATGCTATCCAATAATAGATTGACATATCAAATTAGCAAGTAATAAAATGGAAAAAGTAAAGGGTCAATGCAAATTCTACAATTTATAAGTCATGACTAATAAGTTAGTTGAGACGAAATTCTTATCCAAAGTTTTTATTATATTATTTGACTTCGCTAACTTCTTTTTTAGTTTTCCAAAAAATTATTGTGCTTACTCTTTTAAAAGAACTAATTTGTGGCCTTTTATTTATTTATTTATTTATTTATTTATTTATTTATTTATTTATTTATTTGTTTATTCTTCTTATGCACAAATCTTAAACCTACAACGTTTACTTTCTTTTCTGTTTGATAATCAAACTTGACAAAGTTTGATGAGACATTAAAATACATATGTAAACTACTTAAAAGGTTATGCCGTTAATTTAAAATTTCAAACATCTCTAATAAGTTCACCAATAAGCATCTCTAATAAATTCCCTTAATTAATTTGGGCATGTATTGGTTTCTCTATTTCCTTCTACTACCCTATATTTAGTTAAATTAAAATCGATTTCAATAATATTGATTTCTGGCCCTATGTATTGCCGAAAATGTTTGGTGTGCACAGTGCTGGACTCGGGCCGGACGGCCCGGCCCGGAACCGGCCCGGCCCGGTTATTGTTTGGCCCGGCCCGACCCGGTGGGTCCACCGGTTCGGTTCGGCCCGGCCCGGCTGCTGGGCGGTTCGGGCTCGGGCCCAGGTTTTGGTGAACCGGCCCGGCCGGATTTAAATTCTTTTTTTTTTTTTTGAAATTTTTTTAAGTTTTAGGTTGGATTAGGTATTTTGGGCCATTTGAGGTGGTTTGGGGTTGAGGGGGAGGGTAGGGGATTAAATAGGAGAACAAAAAAAAAAATTAATTGGGCCGGTTCGGCCCGGCCCGGCCCGGTTTGGCCCGGAACCGGGACCGGAACCGGCCACCGGCGGTTCGGGCTCGGGCCTCCCTTTCCTGGCCCGAGGCCCGGCCGGGCCCAGGCCCGAACCGGGCCCGAACCGGGCCCGAACCGACCCGAGTCCAGCCCGTGTGCATAATTTCGTACATACTTTACTCTCTTTGCATTGAAATCCTTCTCTCAACTTAGGTAACAAACAAAAATGCGTATATCGGTATATGAAGTAAATTCAATGCTACAGGCAAAAACTTTCTGTTGCAAATAAAAATTATGTTTGTCAAATACTACATACTAGTATTAGTTTTTGTATACGAGAAACACATCTGCATAAAGTACACAGAAGAATACTCGGGGATGGTCGATTCGTTCACATTAAACATATCTACCGTGAAGGAAATAAATGTGTCGATAGGCTTGCTAATGCTGCACATCAAGCTCCAAAGGGTCTTTCAGTTCTTGAATCAGCTCTAAGTTGGATCAAACAACTTCTTTGGGAGGATGCTAATGGTTAGAGAGTATTAGATTTTAATATGTTTTTTCCTATTTTTATTTCTGTTGTAACGAAAAAAATAAAGTACACGGAAGAAAGTACAAATTACAAACATTAATTAATACGGAGTACTATCACAGTGACATACGGAGTAATTTGTAAGCTTTTCAAATGATTTTTTTCTATCACATTTCATTTCTTGAATTTTTTTCTAAATTTATTATAGTATCTGCTCATGATAATGTTAATATCCATGATTAAGACGAGACTTGAACATACAATCTCCTTTAAAAAAAATTAATAGTGATACCATCACAGTGCAAAATTTTGACTATTATTTTATATTTTTTTATTTGGGAAAAATTAATTTAAATATCTCAAACTTTGAAGGGGTGTGAGATAAGTTAATTGCACATGTAATATATATACCCCAAAATTTACATAAAAAGTTACGTTATCACCATGATCATACGATATACTCCGTAATATTTTTTTATAAATGTAATTTTATGGTGTTAACTACTACGTACATAATTTGGGATACTTATCTCACACCCCATTAAAATTTAGGATATTTAAATTATTTTCCCTTTTTATTTATTAGGGAGTACTACTATTAATTATTCCATACCATACCATATTTTCATTTTTTGATGTGCTCTTATTATTATCTCATACCATATTTGATACTCAGTAACATTTATGTGACTCTAATTCATTCTTACTATATTCTCACACCACTCTCTTCCGTATTAAGGATGTTTTTACATGGACTGCTATTATTTTGCTGGTCTGGTCTGATCTGGTGTGATCTGATCTGAACAAGTCTGATCTTGTAATGTCTTGTGTCTTTGTATTTTTAGGATGTTTTCGTTTGGATTTTTTTCAGTCCTAGACCAGACCAGACCAAATCAAACCAGACCAAACCAGACTATACCATCAAATTTCAGTCCAAAAGAAAACATCCTTATAACTATCCAAGACTGATCTGATAACTATCTTGTTTGGTCTGGTCTGGACACATGTAACGAGATTTGAGGTAACCCTAATAGCCAATTGCAATTGTAAGTCAACCCAAATAATGTGCCATATGACCCTGTTTGGGTGACCGCCTTCATCAGACCACCGGCCGTAAAGCGGAGGGGGTGCTCGATCGGTGTGACCCTCCTCGTACACAAACTGATGGCGGAGTGGGTTGAAGAGCGGCGGAAAGTGAGGCGCTTTTCCAAAGGAAACCATCCAACGGCGTCTGAGTTGGGTGCTGCTCCTTATTGCCTCTACCCTCTTCATAATATTAACAATCTAGACGACGGCTGCCTCATGCATATCTTCAGTTTCCTTTCTCCCATCCCAGGTATGTATTAATCTTCCATTCATATCCCTCTCCACATTTACTGATGGTCCGAATCTCCATTGGATTTTACCAAATCACAATGTTTTGGTAATTTTCATCTCTTAGCTATCGTCAGTTAAGCTATCAAGAGGTTAAAAGATTACTTGCAGGAATTCTCAATTTGATAACAACGGTTTGTCAAAGGTCTAACTTTGTAGTTAATTTAAGTAAGAGTTCGTGCACAATACCTAATCTTGGACCCTAGAGTAGAGCGTTTTCAATTTTATATTCAAGACCCATCTTAGAATTCTACTCAGAAACTGAGACTGGACTTCATCTTTAACATTTTTTAATGGGCTTGTCTTGGCATTTTTATGTTGTTATTTTGTTAATCTAACCTGTTGTAGCTCCAAGATGGGAAAGCAACTATCTTTTGTTTCCCCCCTTAATAAAGATACTTTATTGTTTGGTAGTAATGCTTCTTATTTAATGAGGTATCCTTTCATGAATTTTTTGTTCATGTATCAACTATCAACACTCTATATTAAGCCAGTACTCTGCAAATGCTGCAACTTTTCGCACTCTTAAATATTTTGCTTCCATAGTAAATGATATTGGGTTAGCAGCCAGTCCTTTTGAATCAAATAACAGATGGGTAGTATTTTTATTTATCCTTTCTTGATTTTCAGTTCCTTCAAGTGCCTGCGTATTGCATTGTGTTCCACTTTTCCAGTCAATTGGGTGTTCTTCACTATAAAAAATTATCTTCAATTCTTCAAAAATAAGGTTATCCAAACTGCATAAGGACTTTCCTTCATTTATTAGGTTATATAAAATTATAAACCGCCTTTGGAGTTACTACTGGACTAGTTGTAGTTAGTCAGACATTATAGCTTGCCTTATGCCTGGATGTTGTAAATTGTAATATCCTTTTGTAACAAATTGATGGTGTGTTTGCAGATCGGTATAACACCGCACTGGTTTGCCACAGATGGTGTTTCCTGGCATTTCACCCTCAGCTTTGGTTGCGAGTTGACCGTTCTGTGAGGGACTTATCTCTTCCCGGGATTTTCCCGAACATTGAGGCAGCTATCTCTGCTGCAAGGTTAGAAACCCCCAAATTAAAAATAAACTATATAGCTCCCTTTGAATTATATGCATGAAAGTCTAATCTCTTCTTGTGGCTGAATGGTGTACAGACCTGGGGACACCATTCTGATTGCAGATGGTGGAAGTCACTGTGTTTCAAATATTCAGATAAAAAAGCCCCTATGCCTGGTAAGTCAGAAATTGCATAAGAGGTGCTAAATCAAGCTGTAATAGTAACAGGGTTTGACTTTTTAAGACCTTAGCAACCCTGGGCTTCTGGAATGTAGGTTTGTATTTGTTTTATTTTATTTCGTTAATACTCAGTGATTAGTCTGTTGCATTTATCTTTGTATATACCAGGAATTGTTGTTGAAGGCTTTACTTATTCATTTCAATCAGGGAATATAAAAAACAAATAATTACTCCCTCCTTCCCATTTATTTTGTCCCGTTTTACCTTTTCCGGAAGTCCCACTTAAATTGTCCCATACCATATTCGGCAAAGTTTGTGTGGCTCTAAATCATTCTTACTTTATTCTTACTTTATCAATTAATATCAACCACACAAACCCACTTTTCTTAATGACCGTGCCACCCTCTTCCGGGACAATATAAATGGGACGGAGGTAGTACAATTTAATGGAAAATAGTTAAGATTCTCTGTTTTGCATCTCGAACTATCACACGGCGATCTCTACTGCTTTACATAGTATCTTTTACAAGCTGATGTGCTGAGAACTTCTCCTAATGTTGGTCCATCTCTCCTCT